CAGAGTACAGGAATAATGACGTGGTCCTAATCAAATGGCCTGACATACTGTGCGGATCCAATTATTTTAACTGGCAGAATAGATTAGCAGCACAGACCTGCAATCTGCTTTTGAAAAGGGCCCAACAAAATACACTTCCACTGTCTTTTGAAATGCTCAGTTCACTCTATGTTCATCTCCATTGCTTCATTCCCTTGTAATCTCTCCACAGAGACAAACATGTTATTGGAATACAAAGCATTACAGATTTCCTATAACTGCGCAGACCTCGCTGCAAAATGAATTCAGTCTCATGCTCTTTAAGATGACAGTAAGTAGCAAAAATTGGACAGTGCAAGCGAGAAACAATTTCTCAATGCTGTGTTCAAGCTGAAGATACAGCACAAGAGAGTGTCTATGTGCAGCCTGAGCCTGATACACAGTTAAAACATCTGCAATATGACACATGATTATGAGAAGAGACCATGTAAACTTGTGATGTAATGATTTTTAATCTCAGTAATCACTTTCAGAGATCAATAAAGAGTTGTATGAATAGCTTGAATGAAAGAGAGCATTGAATGTCTGTCACTGAGGTATTTCTTAATTTGTCCCACTTTTCTATAAGTGATTGAAAAGCAGCAGACTGTTATTCCCTGTGCTCTGAATCCCTACCCTGAAAGTACAAGAATTAAAGATGTTACATAGACATTACTACCTGTTTATAAGATTTGCTGTCCAACCTAATGAGGTAAATTATCACATTCAATACACAATGATGCAGCATTATATTATTAGTAAAAAGAATGATCATATTGAATGTCACAGTTATGAGATGATGAGCTCAGTCTGGTTTATTGAGAAAATGAACTTGGCTGAAAATGAGGATTTATTTGGTTTAGGAGTAGACAGAGCCACCACCCTCTTTGGTTTAACCCACTCAATGCCAGACTCAAGATATTCAGAGTCAACTTAGCTTCTAATATAGCCTAATACAGAACTTTAGTTTAGTTTTAATCATTTTTGCACAGTATGAGAATTTGTGTGAGTCTGGCTTCAGAAATAAAGGATTGGTCATGCAGGGTTTCAAACCACAGCCCTGAGTAATGAAATATTAACAAATCCGCATTTGTGCCTTAAGAGCAGATCCCAACATCCAGTGAGCTTACTTTTGTAGCTCACTATTCATAAGGTATTCATAATCATCATCTATAAATGATTGAACAGAGCTTTAAATAGCATTGCCTTTATTGTTAAAACAGATAAGCACTCACAGTCTTCTCTCCCTCTCTCTGCACCTTGTATCTTACATATTACAAGATGGTCTAAATAATTGAATTGACTTTGGAATCTCAGGTCTCTGGAGAGCGAGATGAATGAGGCGGCTAAATTTAAGAAGTCTAAGTGATTGCACTTGAAAACGACTTAATGAACTGTGTGTGTTGCTGTATGTGACGTAAAGAACTCTTGCTGACATCTTTCCAATAAGGAGCTTTGATTCACACACTGCACATCTCCTGGAGTATGATTACTAGAGATGCTAAGTGTTTAAGCAATAAGCAGTGTGTGAGAGTGACTCAAGGGCTTTATTTGATCTTAAAGGGATAGTTCACCCAAAAATTGATCGGGATACGTCACAACAGCATTTGGTGGGAAGGAAGAGTTGTAGTCTGTCAAGCAGGTTAAAACATGAAGGTAGGGCTGCCATTTAGCCAGTAGTAGACAACTGGCTTTTCAGTGGCCGTAAGCACGATAAATGTCCTTCTTGTTAAAACTGCCTTTTACAGTTTGCAGAAATGCTGTCCTTTGAACTTCCTATTCATCAAAGAATTGTGAAAAATATTTTTTTTTAGTATTGATAACAATAACTCTACTGGAGTAATGGTTCCTAAAAAAATCCAGCGTTGCATCATAGAAATAAATTACATTTTAAAATACATTAAAATAGAAAAATAATATTACACAATATTGCTGTTTTTACTGTATTCCTGATAAAATAATTGTCTCACGACTCCTCCAACTGCTTGGTCATAAATTGACCCCTAGCGTTTGAATTGTCGAGTAGGTTGGAATGGGCTGGTTGTTATACGCATATGTGACATCACTCAAGCAGCTCAAGCACACAGCAATAAAAGAATTAAACGGTGTTCCCTATGTGTGCTGACAAAACCGCAGCGCCTGTGTCTGCTTCATTGTGTGAGTACAAGCTTTAATATCCAGTGGGACTCAGCAATAACAAAAGACCATTTTATTTATTTGTGAACTCGGCAGTCTGGACTGCGACATGTTCCTGTTTACTAACTAGATTGCACTGTTAGTTCGGGAGAACAGGAAACCTGCAGTCAGGCTCACAGCAGTCTCACACATAATTACAAGGGAACATGAAATCACCTCACCGCAAGAGCAGCTCAGAAATGTTCTGTAGGGTTAATGTTGCCGTGAAGTTGAAAGAACAATGTGCTAAATCATAAACAGAGTCCACTGTTAATGTTAAAACCTCTCTAAAGGTGTAAGGCGTATGAATCCGAGGAAATATTCAAATACATTTCTCAAAACGGTGTCTGCGTCTGCTCACTTTGCATAGTAGTGCTGTATTTATGTAGCACAGAGATGCATTAAATATTAGCCTATGTCTTTTCAGATGTTTGTCATTGCAGAATCTCTGTCTGTTGAGAGAGTATTCCAACAATAATAGAAAAACACTCGACTGTAGATGAATTATGTGCTAATTCATCCTTCTACTAACAGATTTTTCCAGGAAGATTGTTGCGCCAAGTACACGTCAACATACTACTCTCCTGGGTGATATAAAATGGCCTATGTAACATTTATAATTTATAATCCATGACATTCATTAGGTCCCCATTTCAATGCTTTTTGTGAGATACAATTACAATGACAAAATTGGTTTTGTCCATTTAAGCTACAAATGAGCTTCTTATATTAGATTTGAAATGTAAGATGTAAGAAAACTCAGAGCACATCTGTCCTCTGAAAAGCATGTTAAAACACCATATGTCATTACTGTCAGGAAAAAGGGAATGAGGGAAAGAAGAACAGAGAGAGAGAAAAAAAGAAAAGCTTTCATGCCCCAATACACATTGGAGTCACAAATGCTGCAGTACATTACCATTACTACATCAATCAATGCTTGCCACTCTCATTCACACTCATTTCCAGCAAATGTTGAATGTTTTTTTTTAATCACACTGATATGCATCTGAAAAATGGATGATACCATTTGAACAGGGACTGGAAACAGTGAGTCTGTTAATCTGTGATCTAGAAAAGGCTCTGCAAATACAGTCTGAACCCTAAACAGCCTGCAATCATGTTTCTTTATTGGGCTTCTATTGAGACCACCTGCTGGCTATTTTTCTATCCAGCAAAGCAAAACAAATTCCTCTCAGAAATACAATTATGCACGGGCATTGTTGTCATTAATAATAGAGAGAGGTTTGTATGCTGGAGGAGCATGCTCTTTTGCCCAAAGGGCCACTATTTAATTCCTCCAACAATTGGCGTTTCTTCCTTCAGTATAACAACGGCTGGCAGTATTTGAAAAATAATGTGTTTTTTGAACATTAAAGCATGTCAACATATTCTGTTACACCAAATACACAAAATAATGATCTTTAAAAAAGCATCATATGACCCCTTTAAGGAAACAAAAACAGTTGGCTCCCCAAGACAATGAAGCAAAATCGCCACGTCGATCCCACATTTCTTTCCGTAATTAATTTCACAAACAGCGATTAACAAAGCGGCCTAATTAGGCCTTTGGAGATTTGCAGACTGAATGAGACATTGAAAACACCCATGCGGCACAGTAGGAAGCTTCCTATGAAGACTTAATAGCATGGGTGTTAGTATATTACAGTCACACTAACAATGCACTAATGCATGATTGCATAACACACTGTAGGAACCTCTTCCTGTATGAAATCACCTACAGTGACTAAACCCATAGATTTGTTTACTGTTGTCATAATGTCATTCATTCTTAACGACAGCCTATTTCAGCTTGATATAAATGGTGGATAAAATGTTTTATCCTGACAAAAAATAATCAAGATCTAATATTCATAGATTAATAATGAGAAAATCCAGTAAACTATTATCAAATTCGAGGGACACTTAACAAGCTGAGATTGGGGCAGACTGACCCCTTAAAAACTGCATTCACTGTTACAATTTGGCCGTTAAAAGTACAACATTTAAAACAACTTAAATGAACAAAATGACTTGAATAAAGATTTGTTCATTTTGATGAACGAGATCGAACGAGAGAGTCAGATCTGATCAAAATGATCTGAACTTCCTATCACTATTGGTCAACCCAATTTTTTAGGACAAAATTTAATTATGAATAGGGGTAAGATGATGACCTACCTGAAGTAAAACCTGCAAAAAAGTCTAAAATACATATGATTTTCACTGTTTATGATTTTTTTTTTCTGAAAAAAGAGTAATTGACCAAAGTCTAAATGAAATATTCTATAAAAATGTATGCATTTTGATAAATTGGTTACTATACTTTAAAAAAAATAAAATGATTATGAATTGTGGTATTATTACATTAGATAATAATTTCATTAGAAAACACCAGCAACAACATGCCACTGGAAACATTCTGTCTAAATTGTTTATTACCCCAAAGTTCTAATTTTTCATTTCAAAATATTAACAATATTTGTTATAGTACAAATCTAAGCAAATTTATGAATCTACAACAATAAACAGATCACTATGTTTCAATTACAAACAATTACCCTTAAAATTATTCAGATATAATAAATAATAAATCTCACAGAAAGCATAGGCACTCAATAAATGTAATAAATAGATGTGATTTAATAAATAGATGTGATTTACTGAAATCTTCTGTCAAAAGAAAAATTAAATCTTACCCCTTACTTCTTGAGAAAAAAACTTAAAAAATCACTGTAATCTTATACTGTATCACTGCAACTGTGCATGATGTCGTATTCTGTGCTAACATCCTTTTCTTGTTTCCCCAGAGCATGAAGCCACGATGAGCTGTGCTCAGGCTGGCCCGGAGGAGAGCTCCGCTAATGCCAGCGCCAATACTAACACCAGCCTCAACAGCACCACCAACGATGAGTTGGAGTGCAAAATCTGCTACCAGCGCTACAATGCACACAGCCGCAAGCCCAAGATTCTGGACTGCCTGCATCGCGTGTGTGCCAGATGCCTCAATAAGATCCTGGACATGGGGGACGGCGCCAGCTCCATCAGCTGCCCTTTCTGCCGCCACGAGACGCAGGTCAGCGAGTATGAAGTGGCCGGGTTGCCAGACGACTCAAACATCATGTCCCGTCTGGCCGTGCGGGACAAGTCCTGGAGCTCGGACCACAGTAAGGAGGTAGTGCTGACGCCCAAGAGCCTGTCCTCCGAGAGTCCATCCCATGACTCCTCCAACTGCCTGGTCATCACCATCATGGAGGTGCAGCGGGACCAGCAGCGCTCACCCAGCCAAAACGCCAGCTCTGACTACTACAGCAACCATAGTCTGGACTCAGTCTCCGTAGCATCTAACAGCGGTGCAGTGGACCAAGACGCACTGTCCAAGTTCTGCAATCACGTGCCGCGAGTCTTGGTGTGGCTGCTGGGCTTTTTCTATTTCGGTTCGCTGCCACTTGGCATCTACTTGCTGGTGATCCAGAGAGTGACTCTGGGGATTGTGTGCGTGAGTCTTGTGCCATCCAGTCTCACAGTCTGTCTCGTCTACGGCTTCTGCCAGTGTCTGTGCCAGGGCATGTGCGACTGCTCCAACAGGGGTTGACTGGTACAAAACAGGCCAGTGAAAATCATAGGCTACATCATCTCACCATACAGAGATAAAAATAAGCTTTAGGCATCTGAATCTCCTCGCTGCAAATCAAATGCAATGTGTACCATCTTGCTATGAAGGGATATGTACAAGCAGCTGTGATAAGAGGACGGGTCAAGCATTAAAGAGGAAGGTCAGTCTGGAGGAAACATTATTAGCTTAACACAGTTTATGCACATACCCTTCCAGCTCATTCTGAAGTAAAAAAGCTGACCTTAGAAATGTTCTCCATGCAGAGCAGATGATGATGCACGAGTGGGAGTTTATCAAAGCGGAGTGGATGGACTTTGTGTGTACAGCCAGGCAGAGCGGATGGGCCATAAAGAATAAAGTTTTATTGTGGTTGATTTTCATCGCTGTGAAATAAACTGCATGCCCTGATTCTCAATGAAAAGGCTCCATGAGCAGCACTGTTACAGGTTAAGTCTGGACTAGTCTGTCTGGTTAAAGACTTCTACTGTAGGTATTACAAAGTAAAGAGGTGGGTAACCACTGAGGTAAGAAGGGGCCTTTAAATAAAGAGATTTGACCCATGTTGTTGTTCTGTCCATCTATGGAAATCATAACTGTAACCAATGACACACTACAGTTTTTCATTCTCTCTCACTGACATCAGAATGTGAAAATGTCCTATTGAGATCTGATGTAGTAAAACTAATTGAAATGGTCTTCTATACTTCATGGCTGAGCTGACACAATGAAAACACTCCTGGAATTCAATAGCAGAGCACAAACAGTCCATATAACACTGCATGTGCTAGAGTGCAGGGAAGGAGGGGGAAAACATGTGCTATTGCACGAGATGAGTGGAAGATGTTATCTAAACTCAATGACACTTGGCCTACAGCTAGAAGCATTTGAAGAGAGTGCCATTTTCTGCATGACTGTGAATCTCACAGCTACAGTTGAGGTGATGTAGTCAGAGAAAAATCTCATCAAAATCCGTGCTCTTTTTGCTTCTCCATAGGTGTTTTGATATAACCTTTGAGTCTTCACCTAAACCTTAAACTTTATCTAAAATCCATATCTTTAAAGGTAACATTGACTCCAACAAGCACAGCGTCTCTGCAATCCTTCAAGCCCGGTGTTTCTTCTCCCTGCAGGTTCTTTAAGGGGCCTTCACCTTGAGATCCAATGAGAGCCATTCATCATTTTGAAGTTGAGCTAGAGACAGATTTTGACACACGCATCTTAGTCAGTCAATACTAGAACAATACACAGCACCTTGGGTTTGTGCTTAATCAAAACTGGAACTGTTTCCAAGCTCTCTGCTGGCAATGAATAATTCCAGCGTTTGTACATGCTTATGCAATACATTGCAAACAATAAGAAAATCTGCATGAACTATGGTTGGTTTAACAACAATTTAATTGAACTCAGTCATGAGAACACATTTCTGAGCAATCAAGCATCAGACCACCTCCTAATCACAGCACACCATATTTTCTAAACGTAATTCAACAATCAGGGAAGGACAGCTAAGCATGTAATCTAAAAACAGCCCTCATCGTCACAAAATTCCATTTAGGACTGTATTTATACACACAATCAAATATTCAACATTCAACTTTTTTTCTGCCATTTCAGGCAAATGTGCCGCATGAATTTTAATAACCTGTGAATAATTTACACACAATATTCTTTCCTCTTGTAGGAACTTTCACATCCCTCCTTTTCACAGATTTGTTCCCTCTTCTTTTTCAACCACCTCCTGATCTCGCTCATTAATTCAACCATCCACCCAATTAACAAGTTCTTGTTCTTTATGAATCCTTTCTTGTCCCTGCTTGAAAAATGTTTATGTTTTGGAATCTGCTTGAACAGATGTTTTTTAGTAGTTACAGCTCTATTTGTCCCACTCAATATACACACATGCAAGCAGCACATGAGGTCTTAGTCACACTGCTCCTCTAGTACAGTCAAATCTGAATCTGAAATCTTAATTAGTGGCAATGGAGTGAGGGGTGTCAGAGAAAACGTGTGTGTGTGTGTGTTAAAGCTGTAAAAGGAGGTGTGCTAAGCCCCACTAAGCAGCCTAATTTACACAAGGTGGATGTGTCTACAGATCTGGGCTAATGTCCGTAAAACTGTCTGACCGCACGCCATCATGGGTCTCTGTGAATTGCAAAGAGAGTCAGACACATTCTCCCTTTGACAATACAGACAGACAACAAGTGTGACAATGTTCCTCTAGCCACATGTCAGGTTCAATTCATCAAGCTTTTTCACATCACAAGCTCTGCAAATTGCTATATTTTCGAGACAAATCACCCGGCACAGTTTCTGACTGTGCTCAGAAAGGAACTCCATGCTTTGCAAGTGTTTCGCATAATTGCACGTGTTTAGATTTTGGAGCAGTGAAACAGAATGATATGGTTTATTGAGCTTGTCATTCTGTTACAAACTAACTTCATGAGGTGCCTTGTGAGAAGCTGTATAAGTTCATTACTGACCAGGGCAGTTGCTGATGGATAAAAAGTGGTGATGATTATTGGGGGTTTTGTGGTTTATATGGTTTGAAATGTGTTTTATATATATATATATATATATAT